TGGCTCTATCCCTGCAGGAGCCTGGGGTCCAGCCTTACCTGGGGCCAGGTGTGAGGCGACGGCTAGGGGACGCTGGACCAGAGCAAAGGGCGGGGCTGTGGGTGCCCCAGGGAGGCCCAGACCCTGCCCCTGTGACCTGAGGCTATGCCCTTGCTCTCTGAGCCACAGGTCCCGACTTGTCATCCCTGCCCAGCTGACCTGGGGACCAGGAGGGTCAGTCAAGGCCATTCCTGGAAGGCTGGGCCCCCTGGAGGCTGCTCCTGCTGTCCCTAGCAGAAGGCTTTCCTGGTGACTGGAGTCTGCTCTGGGGTCCCAGCACTGTGGCTGGAAGGGGTCCTGACAGCGGAAATGTACATGGGATCGGGAAAATGCCCACTGTCCGCCCCACACACACCTTGCTTCTTGAGGACAAGGGAGAAGAGGCTGCTCCGGTCAGGCCCCACCCCACCCCGCTCCCCGGTAGCACTGCACTGAGGCGGGTGGGCCTGTGGGGAAACTGAGGCTCAGGTTAAAAGGCAGACGTAGGGGCCGGCCCAGTGGCTCAAGTGGTTAAGTGCGCGCGCTCAGCTGCGGCGGCCCGGGATTCGCCGGTTCGGATCCCAGGCGTGCACCGACGCACTGCTTCTCGAGCCATGCTGTGGTGGCGTCCCATATAAAGTGGAGGAAGATGGGCATGGATGTTACCCCAGGGCCAGTCTTCCTCAGCAAAAAGAGGAGGATTGGCAGATGTTACCTCAGGGCCAATCCTCCTCACAAAAAAAAAAAAAGGCAGACATAGGGAACCCTCACCTTGCTGGGGTTGTCTGCAGACCTCTCAGGGGTTAGCAAAGGTCCCACCCTGCTCCCCTTTGTGTCCTGGTGTCCCCTCAGTGAGGGAGATCTGGGCACCAAGTGAGTCGGTCAGAAGTTTCTCCTGGTGGACCCCAGGGTCCTCGCTGCCCGCAGTCGCCTGGGGCAGTAGGCCGAGCAGGGGAAGGGGATGGGGCCTAGAGGGCGTCGGGCTGTGGACGGCTGGGGTCTGATGCCCCTGGGAGAGGCGGCTGGGGGCCAGCCCGCTGCTTCCTGGAGCCCGCCCCACCCGCCTGGGCACAGTCCAGGGGCTCGTGCCCTTCGAACCACACTTGCGATCGGTATTGACAGGCGGCGGGATAATCATTAACCGCTGCCGGGGCTGGGCCAACGGCTCAAAAGGCGCTGGGCCCAGGGTGTCCCCACTTCCTCCTTGTGCCCCGAGGGCCAGCCAGGCACCCAGGTAAGAGCCTGCCCCGGAGTCAGACCCCGGCAACCCCTCTGCCCCGGGGTGCTCCTGAGCCCAGCCCACCTTTCTGCAGGGTCCCCAGCCCTTCTGAGGAAGAAAGGAAAGGACCCAGACAACTGCTGGGTGACCCGAGCAAGGCCCTTCCTGGCCTGGGCCTCAGTTTCCACCTGTGAGATGAGGGGGCCAGGCCTCCTGATTGGGTGGCAGCATCCCTGTCACCGCTGCCTCCTCCAGGCCAGCACTCCGTCTTGCTTGGGCATCTTAGGGAGGGCCTGCTGGGCTTCGGGGGGCCAGAGTGTCACCAGCTATGATGTCTTCATTTGCAGGCCTATTCTCCCATGCAGAGGACTCCTGCCCGGGGTCCCCCATCCCACCTTGACTGCATCCCAAGAGGGAGGGCGCCATTTCGGGGAGGTTGCCAGGCAGGATGGACCTCAAGGCCCTGCTCTGTGACCTTGGGCAGCCTCCTTTGCCTCTCTGGGCCGGTTTCCACTGCTGGGAAAGGGGGGCATGGCCCAAGTCTACTCTAAAAGCTCAGAGTCCCAGTTCCCCTTCCTCTAGAGAAGCTTTGGGGTCTCCGAAATGTCCCCTAGGCCTCGGCAGGACTGGCACTGGAACCTGTCACTGAAGTCTCTCAGGGCAGATCCTGTCTGGGGGATGAGAACACACTTTGCAGGAGAAAGGTCTGCTCCCTGGGGGCCCTGGGCCAGCAGCTCCTTCCTCTGCCCACAGTGGAGACAGACCCAAAGGTTGTTGGGAGGGTGGCTTCCCACCAGTCCAGGCCAGAGTGCAGAATGGCCTCACAAGCTCTGACTTGTATATGAGGAAGCAGCAGCTGCTCAGAGAGGTTCAGCCACCGGCTCAAGGTCACCCAGCTCCCAGGCCCCTGCTGGCATTCAGGCCACCGAGGTGCTGAGTGTTGTTCCAGATGGGTGGTCGCCGACAGCCCTGCTCTTAGCATTCTGCCGGCAGGTTCATGTATCAGCATCTTTTCAGTGCCCTGTTCCCCCCCCCGCCTTGCTGTTCTCTGTCCCTATTTGCTGTTCCTTTCCAGTTCTCTGCCTGCCGTCATCTGTCTCTCTTTTGGCCCCTCTGCCTCACTCTCCCATGTTCTCTATCTCCCCTCCACGTCCCGCCCTAGTCTCATACGGGGCCGTCCTCGGGAATCTGGGCATTAGGAGGTCCCTGGAGACCGACAGATGCCCAGCCATCCCTCGCTGTCCCTCTGCGCTGTGGCTGCAGCAGGAAGGGGGGGCAAAGGGTAGAGGGCGGAGGCCACAGCAGCCAAACCTGGAACTGGGGCCCAGCTCTGGTTGGGAAAGAAACAAGGAAATAAGGAACTTGGGGGCAGAGGGTGTGGGGGTGTCAGAGGGGCAAAGGCTGCCCAGGAGCTGTAAATGGGAGCCACTCCCGGCTTTATGAGCAGAGCTGGGGTGAGACCGGACTTCGCCCAGAGAGGAGGGCTGGCCTCAGACTCCGGTGTGAGCCCTGGATGATAAGGAGCCTTAATAAAACAAGAACCCAGGGGGCCCAGGTCGGGGGAGCAGGGGGTCCTCCCCAGACCTCTGCCCGGGGGGAGATGCCAGGCAGGCAGTGCCCAGGCCTCCAATTGGCTCCCACCCCCTGTAACAGCAACTCCATGTGGAAGTGCCCACTGGTTCCAGTGGGGCTGCTGTTATCTGGGGCGGGGGCCAGTGTCCACAGAGGGGGAGAGGCGGCTGCCACCCGGCAGACCAGCAGGAATGCTCCCAGGCCCAGGGCAGCGAAGGGTGGTGGGCCATCGGCAGGCTGCAGAGACCGAGTGCACAGGGCTCTGACCTATGAATTGACAGCCAGTGCTGCCATTTCTCCTCTGGCTGCCAATTCCATAGGTCACAGGTATGTTCGCCTCAATGCCAGCCACCAGGACCTGCGGGGGGAAAGGGCGGGGCTGGGGGGGGCAACGAAGTGGGCAATGAAGACTTGCTACCCCAGCACAGCACTCAAGGTCCAACCCCCTCCTGTCTCATTCCCACCTTTCCATTTCCCCTCTTGTGAGCCTGAACTGCTTTAGGTCCCCACCTATACTGTCTGTGCCTCTGTGCTTTGCCCATGCTGTTCCCTGCCTGGAACACCCTTCCCAGCTTTTTTGCCAGGCTCACTCTTACTAACCGTTCCAAGCTCTGCCCAAGCATTTGCTACCTCCAGGAAGCCTTCTTGAAGCCCACTTGATCCTGAGTGCCCAGCCGGGCACCCCCAGCACCCTGTGCTTCCCCTGAGCACTGGACTCACCCGATATTTCCGCCCTCCCCACCACCTGTGAGCTCAGCCCCCAGCCCAGGCCGAGCCCAAGTGTGTGCTCAAAAAATGTTTGACCAGAGGCCGGCCCGGTGGCACAAGCAGTTAAGTGCACGTGCTCCTCTTCGGTGGCCCGGAGTTCGTAGGTTTGGATCCTGGGCGCGGACTGATGCACTGCTTGGCTAAGCCATGCTGTGGCGGTGTCCCATATAAAGTGGAGGAAGATGGGCACGGATGTTAGCTCAGGGCCAATCTTCCTCGACAAACAAACAAACAAACAAAAAATATTTGACCAGATTCTGAGCCTTTGTCTGCACCCCGAGGAAGCACCACCAACATCCAGTGTGGCCAAGGGGGGCCAGGGGCCCTGTGCTGGGACACCCTCTCCCCGGGACAGGGACCTGAGCCAGCCTCCTCCTCTGCTCACCTCTCTCTCCTCCTTGCCGGTCTCATCTCCCTGCAGCACAGCCGCGACCCCCAGGATCCCCTGGCTCAGCTGTGGTGGTCGTTGCGGGAGGCAGCTGAGTGGACAGGACTGCGGACCCCACTCCCATTCCAGCTTCCCACAACAGCCTCCCTCCTGCCTGGTTTTTATACAGTGGGGTTCTAGGGAAGTTTTCACTGGAATAAAAGGGTTCTGCTGCTAAAAAATAAAAATTTAAAAATTGGAAACACAGACCTATGAATAAAGTCCAAATTGCTTAATAACAGAAACTGGTTCTTGAGCCCTTTCTGTGTGCTGGGCACTTACATACATCACTCACCCGGAATCATGCCGGCACTCTTGCAAGGTAACTGTTGTGAACCTGTTTGGGAGATGAGGACACAGGCTCAGAGAGGGTGAGCATCTTGCTCAAGTCACACAGCAAGCCGGACCTTGCGGCTGACAAGTGTCCGGCCTGCTGCTCTGGTCCCCACGACACTGTCGCTTGCCCCTTCCCACGTGTGGCTTTGCTCACACTGCCCTGCCAGCTCCAGATCCCTGGGCCCCCACCTCCTCTGCTGAGGCCCAGCTCAGAAGCCCCTCCCATGACTCTGCAGGATCTGCTCCCCCTCCTCTACTGCGCGGCTCCATGGGCCTCTCCAGCGCCCCTTATCTCATTCAGCGCAGTGCTGAGAGCTCTGGGTGCTTATCTTATCCTCCTGCTGGTCCCTGACTCCTTGAGGGCAAAGTCCACGACTCAGTCATCTTCTGGAGGGGAAGGGGGTGGCAGGCAGCCGCCCCTGTCCTGGGTTTGCTCCTCCACCTGTCTCTACAGAGCCTCTGACAGCTCTCAGAGACCACGTCCTCGCTCGTGAGCGAGGCAGACCCAGCTCCCTCTAACTGGCTCCTTGATCTCCATGACCTGTGGCCTTTTCCCAGCAGGCCCTGGGCCTGTGTGCATCTTGCCTCTCCTGGATCTCGCTCTTACTCCCTCTCGAGACCTCCAGGACACCTGCCTGCTCGCTCCTGGAGTTGGCTTCACCCCCTCCCCTACTCAAGGGCTCCCACTATGCTCTGTGGCCTTAGAGCCCCCATCACACCCCATCACCAACACCTGGCTTTTCCCCCCTAGCCTGTGAACCCTCGGGAGCAGGAGCCATTGACTGTTTCCTGTAGCCTCTGAGACTGGCACAGAGTAAGTGCTTAATAAATGCACGCTGGACCTCCACTGAAGAGAATCAATTTATACTCTTTTTATATTCTCCTTTGACATAAATTTCTATACATTTTGCCACAGGAATATCAATGTGTTCGAATTGCAGAGTCTGCCTCAGGCCCGGCTGGGGTGTTGAGTAATTTACAGGACAGGTACCCTATTTCCTTTCTCATTTGGGAGAGAGGGGCACAGACCACATTGGGGCGCCTTTCCATCTCATATTCCAGAATATGTTCTTTAGTCCTGGAAAGTCTAATAGGAGGGGATCCAGAAGACACCTAATGGGGCACATTCAGAGATGGGCAGTGGGAGAGTGAGTCACACGAGGGACCAGTGAGAGCACTGTTTTCAGAGTTTATGTGAAATACAATAAGGTTGTTGAGTGAAGACAAGAGAAATTGGGAGGGGTTAGAAGAGAAGACAGCTGGGTAGTTGGATGCAATGAGAGGGTTAAAGATGAGCATATGATGAGGTCCCATGTCTCTTTCTTGGACACACGGACTGACGAAAGAGCCCTGAAAACAGAAGGACCAACTATAATGGAGTCAAGAGTGACATTATAATTCGTATTATTATGAGGTATTATGTTGCTATCTCCCCACAATTCACATAACAGTTTATCAGTTTTCTCAACTCCGTGTATCCAATAGTGCTACCTGTTTATAATGACTTAGACTCTGCAACCACTCCAGGTATTTCAAAGAGGGGCTCATTAAAGGACATTGGGCACCAATGTGATGTTAAGGCTGCAGGGGCCAAGAAAGGAAGGTAACATTAGAAAATGAATGAATGAATGCACCCTGAAGAACGGACCACGTGAGTGAATGAAGATGCTTGCGGCGAGGGGGAGTAGGGGGAGCATCAGGCGCCTGGAGCCGATAGGTAGGAGGCCCTCAGTAAATGCTATCGTCTTCATCACCATCACCACACCTGTGAAACAACGCGCTGCTGGCGAGGCATCCTGAGAGTCTGTGCCAATCAGCTGTGCTCCAACCACAAAGCAAGGCCGAGGGGGAAGGGGCCGTCAGAGTCGGCCGGCCTTGATCAGAAAAGCTCCCCGAGAGAGGTGAGTTTGAGCTCAGCTTTTGCTGGGGTGAAGCCCAGGGAGAGGTCTTGAGCACTGGAGGAGGAAGGAATGACAGGGACAAAGGTACAGAGAGGGGAAGGAGGCGTGGGGGTGCGGAGGAGACCTCGCTTCTCCAAGCCTTACTCCCGGTGGCCACCAGCAGGGGGCGCGCCGGGCCGCATCCCTCCAGAGCTGGGCGGGGTCAATCCCTCTTACCCTCCTCCCCATCCCACCCCTCCCACGCCTCCGCAGCCCGTCCCCCAGGTCCCCCCGGGCCCCTCCAGGCCTGATGGAATACCGTCAGCGCCCTGCACATGGTGGCAGGTCCCGGGCGCTCAGCGAGCACCTCGCACAAAGTGGAATTCCTGGTGGGACGTTTACAGCTGTTACGTGTGTATAAAACATACGCATAGTGTCTATTTGTATAATTATAAAATGAGTCCCAGTGTAACTACCATTCAAGAGAAGAAAAAGAAAATCTCTGCACTGCAGAGCTCCTCCTGCCCCCCAACGAAATGTGTCCTTCCAGGTGACCCTCCCCCGGTAAGCACAATGTTGACCTGTACGTAATGACTTCCTTGCCTCTCTCTGCCGTTCACCATCCACGTGCGCAGCCCCAAACATTATGTCATCCTTTTGCCTGGGTTTGTCCTGTGTTTATTATATCAAGCTGTGTCCGGCTGTGTCCACGTGGTTGCTGGAGCCGTGGTTTGCCCGCATTCATTTGGGATTCAGTTGTATGAATAGAATATGGTTGATTTGTCCATTTTACTATAAATGGACTTTGGTGCTGCTGGGTCAGGGGGCAGCAAATATAATATCAGACCAGGCCACGTGGTGCCTGAAGGAGGGGTACCTTGTTACAGGCCTTTTTTTTTTTTTTTTGACAATTATGAAATCTTCAGAACAGTTGCCAGAAAAGTACAGTGAACACCCATATACCCTTCGCTCAGATTCACCAATACAGTCGAACACTTTGCCACATTTGCTCTCTCTCTCACACACACACATAAATATTTTTTCTGAACCATTTGAAAGTAAGTTGCATAGCTCATGACCCTTCACCCTTGAATATTTCCACATGTATCTCTTAAGAAAAATGACATCTGTTACACAACCACAATACAGTTGCCAAATTTAGGCATGGCGACAGTGATGCAATACAGTCCCGCGTCGGTTAACAATGGGGATGCGTTCTGAGAAACACGTCGTTAGGTGATTTCGTTGTTGTGGGAACATCCTAGAGTGTGCCTACACAAACCTAGATGGTGTAGCCTTCTGCACACCCAGGCTGTATGGTACTCATCTTAATGAGACCACCATCAGATATGCGGTCTGTTGTTGACCGAAACGTCGTTATGCGGCATATGACTGTACCAGGCTCTAATATGCGAATATTTCGAACGTCTCTTGTTGTCCCAGTAAACTGGGATCGTGCCTCACACTTGGTTGCCAGGTCTCTTCAGTCTTCTTTAATCTGGAACTATCTTCACCCTTTCTTTGTTTTTCAAGACCCTGACATTTGTGAAGAGTACAGGGCAGTTGTTTTCTAGAATGTCCCTCAGTTTTTCTTCCCTTTTTCCCCCCAATGAAGAAAATCAAATATGTCCGTTATATAAAATTTGGACAATTATAGAAAAGTAAACAAAAATTGCCCCAGCTCCTCTGACGCCAGGCCAGCCCTGTAGATACCTCCTGTAAACACCCGAGTTAGGCGTCTTTGCTGTCCCGTGCACTCTGTCACTCACGTTTAATCCTGCCAGGGAGGTGCTTTCCTTGGCCCCATTTCACAGCTGCTCCCAGAGGCCTTGAGTCTTGCTAAAGATCACATAGTCGGTAGGACTTGAACCTGACCATGCACTTGGCCCTCAGGCTACACTGCCTCTCGATAGTGGCTGGTAGTGAGTGGTGGGTGGGTTTGTGTGTGTGTGTGTGTGTGTGTGTGTGAAGCCAGGTCACATCGTATTCAGTTTTGAAATCTGCTTCCCCAGTATCGGTACTCGATGATCACTTTAGCTTCCTTCCATTTTCTTCTCGTCGCCTGTTGAATGGCTGCCAGGTGATGCCAATCAAATAAATCATTGGTTGATTGACAAATCCATTGCCATAGTAGTCTTCTATCACCGTACAACAAATTACCACAAACTCAGTAGCTTAAAAAACAACCATTTTTTTGCTCAGGTTCTGTAGGTCGGAAGTCCAGCGTCTCGAATCCTGAAGTCAGGTGTTGGCTAGGCTGAGTTCTCATCTGGGGCTCTGGGAGGAAACTGCTTTCACCCTCATTCTTGTCGTTGGTTGGCAAGGTTGGCAGAATTCAGGTCCTTGCAGCTATAAGACTGAGGTCCTCATTTCCTTGCTGGTTGTCAGCTGGGGGTTGCTCTCGGCTTCTAGAGGCCACGCACATTCCTTTCCACGTGGCCCCTCCATCTTCAAGCCACCGACGGCACACTGAATGCTTGTGCTCTGCATCTCTGCCTTCCTTCCTCTGCCACCACCCAGAGAAACTCTCTGCTTTTAAAAGAGTCATGTGATGAGGTCAGGCCACTAGGATAATCTCCAATCTAAAGTCAGCTGTGCCATCGAACATGACCCCATCGTATTCACAGTCCGAGGCATTATCGCGGGTGTGTACACCAGGGTAGGGAATCTTGGGGACGTCTTAGAATTCTGTCTACCACAATTACCAGACGGCAGGAGGGGCGTTTCGGGGGGAGGTCTGGGAACCAAGGGGCAAGAGGCCAGGCTGATGAGCAGGAGAGGCAGGCTTGACCCCAGCTCTGGGAAGGGTCCCACTGCATCCTCGGAGAGACCCCAACATGTACTTCTGGGAGTGAACATGGAGCTTGGGCGGACATGGGCCATCTCATCTCCCCAGCTTCCCGTCCCTTTTCAGATGACCCATCCCCATTGCCTGTACTTAAGGGCAGGAAGAAGAATACACAGGTCAGAGGAATGTTCCAGCTGGGCCAAAAGGGAGGTGAGAGAGACTGTCAGCAGAGTAGGTGGGCTGGAACAGCTGCGTGGACCACCCAGCTCAGAGCGACCTGTGCGGAGACTGATTTGGGGGAAAGAAGAGGGAGGTGTTTAGTCAGCGGAGGGGACAATGTCTGACCCCCATCGAGGTGTGGATGTGAGGGGCCGGGCCAGAGGCCAGAGGAGCTGAGCTGCTTAGATGAACGAGGCTCTGTGCCCTGGTGGCTGAGAGTGACACATGGTTGGGGACAAAATTACTCTCCAGCCCCAGCATGTGAGGCTCAGGCTGTTCCCCAGCCATGGGGGAACAGGGGTAGAGGCCATGGCGAGGGAGAGACAGCTGCAGCAGAAGAACACGCCTGGAGGGGACGTGAGGAGGGCAAGCAGCTGCACTCGCACAGGTGGGGCCGAGACCACCGTCACTCAGGCAGCAACATCCTAGCGCCTCCTGGGTACCCTCAGGCTCTTGAAACTGCAGGATGTCGGGGTTACACCCACCATTTCCATCAGTATAGAGTAAAGGGGCCCCAAGACCCTGCCGGGGACCTCTGATGTTATCACTGTAGAAGGCAGAATTCTCATGTGCCAAATGATAAACCACATCCCGTGGAGTCCCCGAATGCCCTGTGTCTACAGCAAAGGCCTGGAGGGCAGGGCTGGGAAGGTGCCTGAGCTCTCCAGGGAATTTAGGGTCAATACTGCACCCTGTACCCAGCAGTAGAGTTTCCACCAAAAGTGCTCAGAGGCCCCTGCGGCTTAGCTCTGCAAAGCGCTGTGTGGTTATATGCACCCAGCACCCTGGTAACCACGCAGGCTGGGCCCCTAGGCTGCAGAGCAGGAGCTGCTGCCTCAGGGCGGAGTTAACCACAGCCCAGACTCTTGAAATCCTCTTCCTCTGCTTTGCCACCAGCCCGGATCTTGCAACTTCAAGGTTTGAGTGTGGAAAGAGCGCAGTGTTAAGATTCCAAAGAGCCAGCTTCTCCTTCAGCCTGGGTGACTTCAAGCAAGGCGCTCCCCATCCCTGGGCTTTTTTCTCATTGAGAGTGGAAAGCAGAGATCCCCAGCAGCCCTGACACTGTCACCTCCGAGCTGGGCCCTGTCCTGGCTGTCAGACGCCTGCAGAGGCCCCTGGAGCCCAACAACTCTCCCCAGAGCCCCTAGCCCAGGGCTGTGTCCATTACTGTGACTCCAGGAGAGAGGCCTCGTGGGGCACAGAGGAGAACCTTCGGGACGGCACTGGGGCCCCTGGCCTGCAGAGGAACAGACGCGCCCCCCCCCCCCCCAGTTCTTTACCTTGTTTTGGCAAAACTCATCTGTTGGCCAAATCTATTCCTCATGACTGCAAAAACGAAAAGCTGCATTTCTATGCAAACTTTCTCAGTGGAAAGAATGAGCCACTCTGCATCCCAGGGACAAACCTATGTGTTTTTGGCTTTTCCCAGCCTAATTCTTCTGCCATATTTGGAGAAACACTCCATTTTTCTTTTCTTTTTTTTTTCAAGTTGTTTTTAGGGGCCTTGTAGACATTTTTCTAGGCCAGGCCATTATGGGACTGAGCAGACCGCTTCAGGGGAAAGCAGGTGGCTCCTTTCTGCAAGCTGAGAGCAGTGTCTGAGGAAAGACCCCCAGGCTGGCTTTTGCAGGTGTGTGTTTGTGAATTTGAACTCTGGGAGTGGGGGATGGGCATCATTTCCGGGATAAAGGGAAATACTTGAACCCTCCCTCTGTCTCTTGAGGGACCCAGGCAAAGACAGAGAAAGTGAAACGGGACAAAGTGAAATGGATCATTCACATTTTACAAAACCTTCCCATCAAAACTACTCAAAAAACAAAAAGGAAAGGAAGTTAGGACATTTTCACAATCTGGGGCATTACTAGATAAGGCAGTTGTCCAGGACCTGGGGGCCGACTCTGTGAAATTGGGGAAACTAATTCCCATCCACTTGAGCCCTGGCAGTTGTCCAGGACCTGGGGGCCGACTCTGTGAAATTGGGGAAACTAATTCCCATCCACTTGAGCCCTCAGTGGAGAGAGATCCTTTCTTCCAGGCTTTTGAGCTCTTTAGCGAAAGTCGGGTGGCCATACATGACAAACAGTGGGCTGGGTTTCATTTATAAATAACCCAGGAACATTTTGTTGTTCTCAATTTTATAGGGCTGGCTTTTCCCAGCACACAGGGCTCTGGGGAGATGAGAAAACCCTGGCGGGTCAGTGTGAGTGCTGCCGGGGACTATTCAGGCCGTTGAACAACCACCTCTTTCAGGATCCCCAGCTCTGGGCCCTTCCCTGGAATAGCCCAGAAACTGCATCTCCGGGGTGGACCCCTCAAAGCGCCATGTAGGAGAGAAGTCCTTTGGCTTCTAAGGCTGGCCCAGGAAGTCTAGACTGGGCTCGCCAGAGGCTCCTGGTCACCAGCTGGCACACACAGCCTCCAGTGACAGCTCTGCCTAGGAGTCTCAATGTCATTTTTTGAGGAAAATGCCAAAAAAAAGAGTATCATGGCTTCTGTGTTTTACTGCGATTGATGAAAAGAATGCTAATAAAATCCCAAGTAGAAGCAGTCAGTCAGGGACCTGAGATTCCAGGCAGGGCTGGAGTTACTCATCTGCTCTCTAATGGCTAGGGAGGGAGAAAGAGGACAATCCTCTTAATGTTATTTATTCCCTCAGAAGGCACTGAGGCCTGATCCTGCAGGTGGGCGATCAAACTTCCCATCTTACCCTCTCTGGCTCCCACTTAATTCAGCTCCCCTAATATTCTCCTTGTTCTCAGATTTGAGTTCCTGCCTCTGTCCTCTTAGCATGCCAGCCTGCTTTCTTCCTGATATAGGCAGCCAGCCCTCCGGGCTCCCACATCTTCCAGAAGCCAGAAAGTTAGACATGAGGACTCCAAGTTCCCAGGTTCATTCTAGAGCTGTCCAGTAGCCTCCCCCCACCCAGCCCCGGACCCCCTCCTGCACTTTGGGGGTCCTGATACTGGTTACATAACAATCACAGTCTCCAAAGCTCTGACATCACCCACTGAAGATTCTCACCAACCTGGACAGCCAAGGGGGCCTGGGGTGTGCCCGGGACGATGGCGGGGGAATGAGCCAATGGAACAGCCAGGAACTGGTAAGGGGGGGGCACAGATCAGAGTGAAAGATGGTAACTGGCGGTGACCCTAATAGGAAAGCGGAAGTATTTGGGTTTTTAATTCCCCCTAAGTTCCCACAAGATTTGTTACCCCACATTTCCCCTCCACCCCACATAGGGAATTTCCGATTTCACTTCCTCAAAACTCAAGCTGCTGGAGGGCCTCAACTTCCTCTTACCCCCTGTGACCCTCCCACAGTTGCAGCCTCTTTAGGGAGGCCTCCTGTTCTCCCCCACATGTCATGTGTCAAACGTGTCCTCCCCTGCTGTGTTCATCTCCCAATTCCCAGCCCCGTTGGCCTCTTGGCTGCCCGTCAGACCTTCCCCACTGGCCTTCTGCTCCCTGCCCATTTTTCTTTCCCGAGTCACCACCCCACCTTAGCTTCCTCTATTACCTCTTTCCTGTCTCTCCCTCTCTCAAAGCAGATAGAGATGAGGGGATGAGGAGTGTCAGGGAAGCAGGGGCGAGAGGCGGAGGCAAGGAAGGGCAGGGCAGATGGGGGGGCGGGCGACCTCAGGGGTCCTCCCATGCTTTCGGGGATGCTGGGCCGGTGGGAGGAAGAGGACCGTTCATGGGGGAACCGCGGGTGGGGCGCGTGGTTGGGGAGCTGGTACGGCTAACTGGGTGCTGGAAGGCGCGCAGGCCGTGAGATCTCCTAGCGACCAACTGCCCCCTTCCCACCTTCCCAACTGCAGCCCTTCCTCGAGCCGCCCTGGCGGGGAGAAAAAGGCGCGGTTGTCACCGCACCTGGGCCAGGGGCGGGGCGGAGCAAGCGGCGCTCGCGAGATTTGGAATCGGCCAATAGGGGGTGGAGGAGGGGAGGACGTGGCGCGGAGCTCGCGATTGGGTCCCCTCCCTCCCCCTCTCAAGGCCCCGCGGTCCTGCGCGGCGGCGGCGCGCGCGCGCGCCCGAACGCGCTGCCCGGCCTTATAAAGGGCCCACGGCGAGGCGCGCGCTCCAGTCCGCAGAGGGCGCTCCGCGGGTCGTGGTGTGCGCCTGCGCAGTGCGGGCCGTTCCCCGCCCCCTGCCCCGCCGCCCCTGCGCCGGCCGGCCCGGCCCCGCCTCGGCTCCGCGCCCTCGCGCAGCTCTCAGCCGCCGTCTGCCCCGCAGCAGCCAGCCCGGTCTCCGGCAGCATGTTCAGCTGGGTCAGCAAAGATGCCCGCCGCAAGAAGGAGCCGGAGCTCTTCCAGACGGTGGCCGAGGGGCTGCGGCAACTGTACGCGCAGAAGCTGCTGCCCCTGGAGGAGCACTACCGCTTCCATGAGTTCCACTCGCCCGCGCTGGAGGACGCGGACTTCGACAACAAGCCCATGGTGCTGCTCGTGGGCCAGTACAGCACGGGCAAGACCACCTTCATCCGGCACCTGATCGAGCAGGACTTCCCGGGGATGCGCATCGGGCCCGAGCCCACCACCGACTCCTTCATCGCCGTCATGCACGGCCCCACCGAGGGCGTGGTGCCGGGCAACGCGCTCGTCGTCGATCCGCGGCGCCCTTTCCGCAAGCTCAACGCCTTCGGCAATGCCTTCCTCAACAGGTACCCGCCTCTTGCCCCGGGGGGTGGCCGGGACCTCGACCCCGCACTCGGATCCCGACCCTCCTGCGGCCGCCGTCCCCGCCTGCCTTTGTCTCCAAGGCCCCGGCGAGACCCTCAGCCACCACTCCGTGGGACAGGGTCCCCTGCCACTTCCCACAGAAAACCCGCCCGGGGGTCTGGGAGTGAGGGTCGCCAGCTCCCCGGGCTTCTGTCACCCCCCGCCCCCCCAGAATTTTCCAGGTCATCAGTTTAACTCCCACTCCCCCCACCCCCCCCTGCAGATCCCAGCCCCACTTCCCTCCGAACCAGGGGTTAGTCTTGGTCTCCACCTCCTTCCCCCAGACTGGGCTCACCTAGTTCATTCAAACCAACTCCCTCCACCCTCCCTTCCTTCAAGGATCTGTTTCTTAAGTGTCGTGGAAAGATATGGTGAAACTTTTAGCCATTCCCTTTGCTGCTGTGCTGTGCTCCCCTGGGGCCGGTGGTTTTGTGTAGGAGGGACAGAGAAGTTCTGTGGCCTGCTGAGTTTGGGGCAGCTGGTGGAGGCAGCAGACAGATTGAGTAGAAACATTTCTCCCAGAACAACTAGAAAGGGTCTGTACCACTTGAGGGGTTTCATGAAGCAGCCTCAGGCGGTGGCCCTGGGAGCTCTGGAATGAGGTTTGGGCCCTGAGTCCCTCTGTAGACTTGCTAGGAGGTTCCTTAACTTACTTGGGCCTCAGTTTCCCCAGTTGAATGGGTGAAACCTGCCTCTTCATGACGAGGATAATCCTCTAAGATTCTGACCCTCACGATGCTATGAATGAAACGCACTGGCCTCCTCTCTAAGGAGTACAGCGGCCACATTCACTTTTCTCTACAGGAACTCGAAAGCCTTAGTCAGTGGTTCTCAGATCTCTCCCCCGACCCCCATGGAACATACCGAAGGACTTCACAGATCTGCCCTCTCTGCCACCCCCCGTTCAAGGAGTGACTCCACGTGCCTTTCATAGTCTGGGTTCTGGGAAGAGCCTCGAGAAGAATCCTTGACTCCTGCCTGCCAGGTCCCCACCCTGTACAATCACATTCCTTTCCAGACACTGTCCAGCCACACAGGGTGGACCAGCTTGTCCCCGGTCCCAGCCGGTGGCCTAGGCCCACCTCAGTGCACGGAGCTGACCTGTCACAGAGCAGGCAGGCAACCCCTGTTGTCTTTTCGCCCCTTTCGGGCATTTGAGCCTGTCCCCCTGTTTTATAGTTGATGGCGTTTGTGTCAGGACCAGAATTGAGTAAAGCCCTGCCGGTGAGACTCCTGAAGAAGTGTGGCCCTCTTAGCCTGGAACCTTCCTCCTGAGGGTGCTGATGGTTTAGAATTCCGTATGTGCCTGTAGATGGGCAATTGGCTCAGGCTGTTAGCTGGGGGGTGCCATCTGATCTTCTGGAAAGTTTGGCTGCTATGCTGGGAATGCCGAGTATTGCTAGACTCTGCTTTCATGGGGAACTTTGGGAAGCTAGAAGGAAGGGTGGCCACGCCTGCCTCTGCTGCCCTTAGGTCTCCACTTTTGATTGTGAGAGTAGACCTTTTTTTGTGTGTGTGTGAGGAAGATCAGCCCTCAGCTAATATCCATGTTAATCCTCCTCTTTTTTTGCTGAGGAAGACCGGCTCTGAGCTAACGTCTATTGCCAATCCTCCTCCTTTTTTTTTTCCCCAAAGCCCCAGTAGATAGTTGTATGTCATAGTTGCACATCCATTTTGGTTGCTGTATGTGGGACGTGGCCTCAGCATGGCCGGAGAAGCAGTGTGTCGGTGCGTGCCCAGGATCCGAACCCCGGGCCGCCAGTAGCGGAGCGCGGACACTTAACTGCCACACCACGGAGCTGGCCGAGAGCAGACCTTTTTTGAAAGGAGAAACAGGCATGTGGCCTGTTTTCTGAATTTGGAGACCTCTGGTTTCAGAGGTGGCAGGGATCTTAGACATCATCTAGACAACCCCACCTCAGTGGTTCAGGAAACCACGGCTCAGAGGGCCTAGCTGATTTGTGGCGCTCACTCAGCAGGCGAATACAGCCCGTTACCACCTACTGCAGCTTCTACCTGGAAAAAAGAGCAGTTCCAGAGTGCTGGGGGCAAGCCAGGCATGTTGGTGATGTTGGTGCCTCAGGATCTGAGGACCACATTTTTATTTCCTTCCTGCCACTGCCTCATCTCCAGAGAGTCCCCAAACACTAATGGCCCTGCCAAAAGGGGCCTTATCAGCCCAGGATGAGGGGCTCAGGTTTGCACTGGCTCTGAGGTCCCCAGTTGTGGTGGCCCATGTAACACCCTGAGTGCCTTCCAGCCTGCCCGGGCACACAAAGGGGGCTCTTCTCCGGCTGACACAGCCTCTCCTGACACTCTTCAAGAGCCCCATTGAGTCATGAACTGAACTTTCCAGCCTTTTCCCGGTAAGTGGCTGCTCTCAGACTAAAATCAGATGGAGCAAACTGCAACAGGGCATAGTCAGTGTCCTGTGAACACTCATTGTGAAACTGGTCCCGCCCACTTGTAGTACAAGATGACCTCTGGGCATCCTTATTGGTGAGAACATGGGATCAGATGCGTCTATACTGCCTGCTTCCGTTCGTGGTTTCTACCACACTCCCTGGGCCTTGCAGAGTGAGTTGTTCCTGAGTCGTACAGATGTTCACTTACTCACCAGACTCATTGACAAGGCATTTTTATGTCTGTTACTTCTCAGAGCCAGTTCTACTTCAAGGCCTCTTATTTTGGTGTTGTCTCCGGGGCTCCCTTCCTAGCTGGAACCGCAGGTCAGGCAGGTGGTTATTTACGGCAGCCGTGTTCTGCGGCTGGCACTGGCGAGGATGAGGTCCAAGGTTTGTTCACCCTGCTGGTCAGCTGGTTTTACTCTGTCACACTCACAAGCAGCATGTCTCACCCTTGGCCAGCTGCCCCCAGCCTGTGGGCCACTGGTCACTTGGGGGGTGGGGCCAGAAGGAGAAGCTAATCAGCTCAGATTCCTCCCCAGTGTTGGAAAGACAGCTTTAAGCCTACATCCTAAAGACAATGGGTCAGTATTTTCTTTGCTCACAATACCTTTTTCAGAGATTTTTTTTTTTTTTTTGTGAGGAAAATCAGCCCTGAGCTAACATCCGTGCTAATCCTCCTCTTTTTGCTGAGGAAGACCGGCTCTGAGCTAACATCTATTGCCAATCCTCCTCCTTCCCCCCGCCCCAAGCCCCAGCGGATAGTTGTATTGCATAGTTGCACATCCTTCTAGTTGCTATTTGTGGGACACGGCCATGCAGAAGCGGTGCGTCGCTGCGGCCCGGGATCCGAACCCCGGGCCGCCAGTAGCGGAGCGCACGCACGTAACCGCTAAGCCACGGGGCCAGCCCCAGAGAAGTTTTTCAAGCAGCCTTTTCTGTGTTCAGTCAAGAATCTCTGCTGTCAGTTGGGACAACCCTTGCTCTTTTGGGCTGTTCTAAGCTCAGTAGTAACTCAGGCACACACAGCTAAGCCCTCACCCATGAGCTGCCAGCCTCTCCGTGGCTTCTTTCTTCCTCGGCCTGCTTTGACTTTCGGAGAATGGTGTCTACTTCCCTGCCCCACCAACCAGCCTTTGTGGTGCCCCAGCTTTTTCTGGTCGCCCACTGCAATCCCTTCACCCAGGCAGCTGGCTGGAAAAGGTGGGCTGGCCCCAGCAGCAAGAGGAAAGGGCCATCTCTCTTCAGTGGGGATTGAACCAACTGGTTGAAAATTTTAGTATGGAATTCCAGGGTCCTAGTGTCACCCTTCCGTTTCCCTTCTGGAATTGAATGGTGGCCTAAGCTCGTGCAATTTTCACTAACAAGTCAGCAACTTGAAAGTTGAACTTTCGAACTCTGGGGGAAAAGCTAATGGGAGGGAAGTGCTGATGTGGGTCAGTTTGAGCTGGCTGGTTGGATTCCCGGTTAAGAGAATATGTGCGGTTTGCTGGCCACCCCTGAAGACTAAGATGATAGGAAACCTTTAAGTGCCTTGCATCTGGAAAGGAGGCCAGAGGCGGAGATGGAGGAGTGCAGAAAGCTCCACTGTCCCGTCTAGAGCAGCGATAACTCAGTCTTGACCTCTCTCCCTCCTGTTGCTCTCGTTCAGGTTCATGTGTGCCCAGCTGCCCAACCCGGTCTTGGACAGCATCAGCATCATCGATACCCCCGGGATCCTGTCTGGAGAGAAGCAGCGCATCAGCAGAGGTAAACGGGCCCGACACAGCCCAGGGCACCTGGTGTCACCAGACTGCTTCCATCTGATGTCTGTGACCCGGGCGGGATGCTGCCTTGAGGTCTGTCCCAGCCCAAGTGAGAACCCATTTGGTCAGCCTTGTATCTGGATGGTGCTCCGAGCCCTGAGGGGGCGGGACTGCTTTCTTCTGTGGCTGCTTGGCTAAGGTTACAAGAGCTGGCAGGTGAGGCCACAGCCAGTTTCGTTGGCTTTCGAACTTTCTAGCCCCTGGGGCATGCTGGAAAGGAGGAGAGGTGCAGGAGCTGGGCCTCGGGCTGCCTGTGAGGTCACAGGACATCCCTCAGTGTCTGGGCTCCAGTACCTCAGCCAGCATCGCTGACTCTCCTGGGACTCCTTAGCTTGTGTTTAAAAGCTTTGCCTGGGGCTGGCCCCGTGGCTTAGCGGTTAAGTGCGCGCGCTCCGCTGCTGGCGGCCCGGGTTCGGATCCCAGGCGCGCACCGACGCACCGCTTGTCCGGCCATGCTGAGGCCACGTCCCACATACAGCAACTAGAAGGATGTGCAGCTATGACATACAACCATCTACTGGGGCTTTGGGGGGAAAAATAAATAAATAAATAAATAAGATTTTAAATAATAAATAAATAAAAGCTTTGCCTCACCAAGCCAGGTAAATTCCTAGAGAGTCCAGCGGAACTATCAGAGAACAGCTTGACTTGACCGAGCCAGCCAAAAGGAGAAGCCAGCAGGCATTTGTTAAACCTTTAGCGGCTGGTGGAAATGTGTTCAGATGTGCTTAAATGTTGGTGATCAGCCGGCTCCTTGGGTGCTGTGCGTGGCATGAGGTTTTCATCCTGAGTGTTAGTGCCCCGGGCCCCTCCCGCTTGTGTAAACTCCTGTCTCAATTTTGCCCAGTGTTTCTGAAGATGGGGTTCAGAATGTGCCTGAACTGGGTTATATTTCTGCCACTGCCCCTTTTTGTAGAAAGGAGGGGGCCTGAATGCTTTCTGGGGAGAGCATGAGGGCAAGCGGGAGATGTCTGGCAGGCTAGGAGTGGAGGCTGCAGCTGCAAATGAGAAAATGAAGTAAGATCACATTCGGAAAGAGATGGCGGTCGAGGGACCACATTTGTTTATCATTAACTTGCAAATCTTTCCTGCACCCTCTTTCCCTCCGGGCTGCCCGGCATTGGTGAGCTTTGCAGCTGAAGCCGGCAGCCTGAGATTGGGGGATAGTGTGTCCTTGCTTGGCTGTGAGGGGGTGGGGGCCGTGTTCTTTTTGCTGAGGACACTGCTTCTCTTTTTCTCCAGGCTTATGGGCCCCTGCTGATATGGGATTGCATCAGAGCACACGAAACTGCTCTCTCTCTATCTCTAAATCTGGCTTAAGCTTTTAAGTTCTCCACCCCTAATGATAATGATACTTCTAGAAATTCCAGGATACAGATTTGGGGACCTCTTCTAAAAAGGCGAGGGCGAGTTTTTTCTTTCTTACCACTATTGTTGTTGTAACTTGGTTTAAAGAAAATGCCTGATAAGCAAAAGCCTTGTCATTTGCCAGAGAGCAAGGCTAGAAAATCTGAATAAGTTAAAGAGAAAGACCCACAAAAGGGAATTGATTCTCAAACTGCCTCCAGGGCTGAGCTATCCTGGAGGGACTTTCTTTGAGACTCTGTAGAGTCATCTTTTCGCTGACCTGAGGGAGGAGGCGGAGGGGGCCATCAGATAGAGCCCTAAACCACCTCTGAGGTCAGTTGATGTGCACACATCTTCAGATAAGGGACAGCAGCTCACAAAAGGAGGCTTATCTTCCCAGAATGCCTTGCTCTGGGTGGCCTTCAGAGCTGGGAGTTAAGGTATTTGAGGGGAAGTGTTTAGGGTTCTCCTGGTCCCTGCTGTCTTGTAAAAGGGAACTCAGAAACAGCTGTTTTCCACCAGTGCTGTGAGGTTCCCCTGCCGGGCTGTCTTGGACACTTCCTTGCATCCTTAGGGCTTAGCAGGCTGAGAGGTTGGGAGTGTGTGTCTTGCTGCCTTCCCCTTTGTTAGCTAAAGGGCGGGCAGTGGGGTCCACACTTGCTGTCTCTGGGGCAGGCACCAGGGCAGTGCCTCAGCGCGCCCTCCAGTCAGACATAGGCTGCCGGGGACGACGTGGCTCACAGGGCAGTCTGGGTCATCCAGTTGCCCGTGCAGGTGGCAGATACCTGGAGGAGGAGGCGACAGGAGACACCGGGGCTCACTGTTGGTGCTCTGCCTCGTGGGGCCTCCCTGTGCCCCTCCAGGTGTAAGGTGTGGCTTCTGGGTCCCTGGGCAGCCACAGAAGGCCTCCCCGCCCCATCACGGGCAGGAAAGAGGAGGGTGGCTTAAAGATAAGTGCCTTGCCCTGATTGGACAAGGGCTTTCCTCCTGTGAAATAGTGAGAGGTCAAACTGAGTTTACTAGACCATCTCTTTCCCTCTGTAACCCTAGAGGTTTAAAGTATTTTACTAAAAATTCGGTGTTAGCGCGTTATCAGTGAGAAAGACCATCGTGCAGTACCTCTTAAACGTCTGAGTGTGGGCTCCAGGGGTGGTGACCACTGGGTGGACGGAGGAGGAGGGGATTTCTCCTTCTTGGAGGCCCCACCCTTCAGTCACTGCAAAGATCCCATGTCGCTCTGTCCAGCAGAGGAAGTCAGAGCAGGCCAGTGCGTTCCAGGCTCCCCGGCCGGCCACCTCTCTGTTCTTTTTGCTAACGGCGTGGAAAGCAGGTGTTTCCCTAAGAAAGATAGGGCCGACAGCGAACATGGGTCCCGGGCAGGCGGCATGCCTTTCTGTGGTCTGCTGACCTCAGTCCCTGGAAGGGAATTCCTTCTGGGGATCGCATGTGTGTTTACTTCCATTTCCCACCCTATCTGCCTGGCCCCTCCTGACTTTCCCCTCTTTTCCCCATGGTGCCTAATGTGTGCAGGAAATACAGTCTGGAAAGATAAGGCAGGGCCTGTGCAGGCCTAGAGCAGTCTGGGCACACCCCGGGCTTTGCAGGAGACCCCTGAGAACTGCTGCGGGGAAGAGAAGGGGCCTCTGGGGGCGTCTTGGGCTGTGCTTCCCCGTTATGTTCATCTCTGACTTTAAAGATAATGTTCTCCTGTGTCAGCAGAGAAAGGGGACCTGTGGGGACAGCGTTCGTTCTTGAGTGCTGCCCATGTGACTGATAAAGGGCGTTCCAAAGGGCGTCGGGCAGGGCTGGTACCCTTGGTTCCTGGGCTGCTGACCGCCTGAACAGTCACAGCAGGGCCGGGGAGGCAGGGTCTTCCCACAGCAGGAGGCACACTCAGGTGGAAGCCCCAGCCCGGGGGGCAGGGGCCTGGCCGGCGCACTCTCAGCCTTTGTCACCACGAGGCTGTGAGCTGAGCTGTAACTTTCGTGCCCCAGTTTCCCCCATGGAAGTTGTGTCAGCAGGGACGTGTTGCTTAAACGTGGATTAAGGGATGGGAGCCGGCCGGCCCGCTGCCTGGCTTTCTGCTGAGTGCTCCCCTGTGAACCAGCTCCACTGAGTGATCACCGTGGCTATGAGGAAGCTCCTGCTTTCCAGATGAGGAAACAGAGGCTTGGCAAAGTGCAGTAATTAGCCCAGATGACACACAGGCTAGCAGGGGTCGGCGCTAGGATGCGAACCCAGCAGAGGCCGTGCTCACACCGCGCTGTTTTGAGGGGGTGCTCGGGGCGAAGGAACGCTGAGAGCTGGGATCAGACGGTCAGACCTGACCCTGTCAGGTCGTTACCAGGCTCCGAGCTCCCCTGAAATGCACAAGGGCCGCCCTTTGCTTCTCTCCTGGCCCAAGATCAGACTCTGAGTCCAGAAATGGACCTGGGGTGCGGGGCTTTGAGCAACAGTGCTGGCATCTTCTTCCTTTTCCCTCTTCTCTGCCTCCAGCCAGAAATTGTCCCCCAGGCCATCTGTGGACCAGGATTTGGAGCCCTGGCCAATGCTGGCTGGTCCCCTGGGTTCTCACTTGCCTTCCTGCTGACTTGTCCTTGGTTCCCGGGCTCCTTTGAAGTCCGGGAGCTGTCCTGCTCCTTAATAGTGGGGTAGGGCCTCCCCCGCCCAGAGCTGGAGCCCTCTGACCCAGAGGTGTCCCTTCCTGCTGACGACCCTCAAGCTGACCACCTCCTGAGATGCCCCACCCCTGGAAGCCCTCCAGGCCAGTGTTTCACCAGGGTTTTCTGCAGCCCATAGAATGCTCCATGAGGTTGCCCAAAAGCAACCCTCCTGGATTCCTAGGGCCCACAGCACAGAGAGAGATGGAAGGTTCAGGTTCCAGGTCAGCACTTTAGGAGCTGGGGACCCCAGGGAGTTGCTGGTCCCCTGGGAGCCACATCAATAGAGCAGGAATAGCAACACCAGCCTCCCGGTTCTTGTTGATGGTTACAGGAATTTACATGTGTTAAGCTCTTGCTCTGGTGCCTCGTGCACAGTTAAGTGTTCGACAAATGTCAGCTGATTAAAAATAAAGACACTGAAAAATCCAGGGATTCCCAGACATTGGTGAGGAAGATCTTTTTCTGAATAACATCCTGAGGAGGCTGGAGGGTGGGGAAGCTCTGACTCAGCCGGGGTTTCCCTTCAGATCCCAGGACCAGCTCTGGGCTCTGGGCTTGGAGGAACTACCCTCCTCAGAGCCTTCCCCTCGCCCCGTCTCCTGCCGTTCCCGCTCTGGTCCAGCTAGACAGTTTTGGCCCAAACCCTTGATGGGAATGCCGAGGGCGTGGGCTGCTCTGCCCACGGAGGAGTGGTACCAGCCGGCGCTCGGCACCTGTTCAAGGCTTTGAGCCTGGCAGCCGGCTGGGTGGCAGCTGGCCTGAGCGCCTGCAAATGTTCCGTTTATATTTGGGGGACGAGGCATTCTTCACGTGTTAGAAGCCGTCGTTGCCTACACGCCCATCAGAATCTGAGCTTCTTGAGCCCAAAATACAAATCCTGTGAGTAAATAATAGCAAACATTTACAAGGTGCTTACAGAGTGCCAGGTGCCCACTTGATGCTCACAGCAGCCCTGCGGGGTGGAGACCTACCATCTTGACGGCACAGATGGAGAAACTGAGGCTCGAGAGGGAACGCAGCCTGCTAGGGTCACGTTGCAGTTGTCGAGCAGAAGATTCAGGATTCAGATGTGGGCCTGATTCCAGAGTCGGTCTGTCTCTCCCTGCCTCGGCCCCCGTCCTTTCTTGCTTAGTATTAGGTCAGATTTATTGAGGTCGACATTGTGTATAGTAAAATTCACCCTTTTTAGGTGTACAGCTCTATGAAGCAGTCGTGTAACCACCACCACAACCAAGATATAGAGTCTTTCCATCACCCCAGAAAGTTCTCTGCACCCCTTTGTAGTTACTCCCCGTCCCAGGCAACCCATTGATCTGATACTTGTCCCTAAAGTTCTGCCTTTTCCCGAGTGTCGTGAATGGCTCACACAATAGGAAACTTTCATGTCTCTGCTTCCGCTTGATGTGTGCTTTTGGGGTTCGTCGTGTACTTGAGAGCATCAGCGGTTCCTTCCTTTTGATGTGTTGTGTCTCATCGTAGGGATGCACCAGAACTTGTTACACATCCACTTGTTGAAGGGCATTTGGGTGTCCAGTTCGGGGCAGTTAGACTAAAGCTGCTATATAAACATTCGTGTATGGTGCAACTTTTTTTTTGTTTTTTGTGTGTGTGTGTGTGAGGAAGAAAGCCCTGAGCTAACATCCGATGCCAATCCTCCTCTTTTTTGCTGAGGAAGACTGGCCCTGGGCTAACATCCGTGCCCATCTTCCTCCACTTTTATATGGGACGCCGCCACAGCATGGCTTGACAAGCGATGCGTCGGTGCGCGCCTGGGATCCAAACCTGCGAACCCCAGGCCGCCGCAGCGGAGCAGGCGCACTTACCTGCTGCACAACTGGGCCAGCCCCAAGAGTTCGAATTTTAATTTTTTAGTTTCTCTTGGGTAAATACCTGGTGTGGGGCGGCGGCCCCTTTCTCCTAACCACTGTGCTGCTCTGGAACAGTCCTTCTCTTAAGAACTTGAGCTTAAGGAGGCTCAGGAACAAGTCCCCACAGTGGACTCTTAGCTCTTTATCTCTGGTTTGCTCTCCTGTGCTGCTTTCTCCTGGGCCCAGCACGAGTTGGAAACGTGTGTGATGGAGAGCCGTGGCAAGAAATACCGAGGCCCACGCAGCTTGAATGGCAGGAAACAAAAGCTGATTGGAGACAAACCCTCTATTGTCCATGTTCTAGAAACTTTTGGAATGTATGAAGCAGCTTTTCCCCCAGCTGTGGAACTACCTGTGTTTGGAGGCTGCTACGGCGGGGCCAGCAGCCATCACAACTGCTCCCGCCTCCAGCTCGGCACCGGGTGGCAGGAGCATAGCTCTTGTGAGGAGCCACCAGCACTGGAGAGACAGGTGTCCCTCAGAGCAGGAGGGGCCAGCAGGGGACTCGGGGGGAGCGGAGCCAAGGGGAGCGGCCGGCTTGGCCTCCTGTCCCCACGGCCTGCGTGCTTACCTCCCCAAGGGCGAACACAGCCCAATGGCTCAGCCTTTCTCCTGTCTTCCCCACAGGACTGTGTGTGTGGAGGGGGCGTAAAATACGCGTAACATAAGCCTTAGCCGTTTTTAAGCGTACAGTTCAGTAGTATTAAGTACCATCATATTATTGTGTAACCGCCACCACCATCCACGTCCAGGACTTTCTCCGTCTTCCCAAACTGACTCTCTGTGCCCATTCAACACTAATTCGCCATCCCCCATCCTCCAGCCCCTGGCCACCACTGTTCTGCTTTCTGTCTCTATGAACTTGACTTCTCTAGGGACCTCATATAAGTAGAATCATGCAATATTTGTCCTTTTGTGACTGGCTTATTTCATGATGCCTTCAAGGTCACAGAACTTTCTTTTTTCTTTTTTTGTGAAGAAGATCAGCCCTGAGCTAACATCCATGCTAATCCTCCTCTTTTTGCTGAGGAAGACCGGCCCTGAGCCAACATCTATTGCCAATCCTCCTCCTTTTTTTCCCTTTTTCTCCCCAAAGCCCCAGCAGATAGTTGTATTGCATAGTTGCACATCCTTCTAGTGGCTGTATATGGGACGCGGCCTCAGCATGGCCGGAGAAGCGGTGCGTCAGTGCGCGCCTGGGATCTGAACCCAGGCCGCCAGTAGCGGAGCGCGCGCACTTAACCGCTAAGCCACGGGGCCAGCCCTCCGCAGAACTTTCTGAGCCAGAGCTTGTCCCGGATCAGAGCGGCTCTGGCTTTTACCCACACTGCTGGGTCAGCCTTTTCTTTCCAGCTCACCCCTTGGTCCATGTTGTCTGTGTCCCTTGTGGGGACACCTGTGTCAGCGCACTGACTCCTGCTGGGGCCCGAGGCAGACGAGCTACAGCGCCATGTGCCCCCCGTGGGTGGGGGAATGGTTCCCTCTCACGGAGCTCACCCGACGTCCCGCCTTGGCTGCTGTGCTTTAGGTGGTGTCTGAGGCCTCGGGCAGTGCTGAGGGCCCGCTGACGAGCTCTTCCCTCTGCTTGTCCCCTGGTCCCTGTGCTTGTCACCTGCCACCAGGCTCCAGGCTGAATGGTGGCTGCAGCCCCCTTGCCAGTTGCGTGGACTTGACCAATGTTCTCGGTGCTGCAGCCGTGGTCCAGCCCTTTGTGCCTGTCGAGACGCCATCTCTCAGGCCAAGGGGCGCCGGGTGGGCCTGGCGGGGGCTGCAGCCACGTGGTTGTCCGTGGTCACACACCTACGATGACGTCACACAAGCCTGAGCTTCAGGCCCCCTTCATGACCTATGGGTGTACTTGGCCAGCCGCCACGTCTCCCTCCCCAAAAGTGTGAGCATTTTCCATAATAAACAGGAAATTTCATTCACCTGCAGAAAAATGGACTTAGCTCTGTTGGCTCCAGTTGGAGGGGCTGGCGAGTAGCTGGGTTTGCGGGCGGGGCGCTGGGGGCGCCCGGCCCTGGCGGCGGGGCTCTTGGGCCTGCCGGCGGCGACCTGCCATTCAGACTCTCTCCTCCTTCCTCTCTCTCTCCCCATCGTCCTCCCCGGCCCCCCACCATCAGGGCAGGGGGCCAGCGAGGCCGTGTTGGGTGGAGTCTGGGGGTGACCTCAGCTCCCTGCGTGCTGTCCTGACTCCCGGGCCAAAGCTAACTTGGGCTGGAGCCCAGCCCATTGGGGCGCCCCGTTCCCAGTACCTCGGTCTTGGCGTCGCCGCCTCCCCAGCTTCGCAAAGCTCTGCCCGTCGGCTCGCGCGGTCTGAGCACAGAGTGATGAGGGAGAGGCTGGGCCTTGTTCTTGCTGAGAGGGAGCCGCGTCCAGTCCTGAGTCATCGCTTTTGCAGGGCTGACCCGCATTCCCGGAGCCGGCCGTAAAAGGCCATGCGGCGTGGCCGGGCGGGCCCTGCAGCTCCCCAGCCGGGGCAGGCCACCGCTCCCTGCCCCGCGTCCCTCGGCCTGCTCCTCGGCCTTCCTGTTCCAGTTTTCTGCTGATGGCCTCGCTCCTGTGGCTCTCAGAGCCTGCTGCATGGTGTCGGGCCGTGGGGACCTTGTGCTTTGGAACCAGCAGCCTGTGATGGCGGCTGGCAGCTGGTGCAGGGGTGACACTCTGAGCACGGGGAAGCTGGTAGCCAGACCGGTTCCCACCGACTGCACGGGCCTCTGGAAGGCTGCGTGCTGCCCTGCCCCGGCTGAAGGTCAGGTTCACGGGGACCTTGCTGCCCCCGACTCCACCTCACCTCCACCCTGTTAAGAAACTGCCCGGTCGAGGGGCTGCTTCTGATCAGTCTCATTTCCACCGTGTGCTGGGTGGGACCAGGTTGCACATCGCAGCCCAGCGAGGCTGCCATGCTGAGTCGACGGAAGCAGTGGATTCGGGGTTTTCCTTAAGGTTCAGTGTCTTGCCACGAAGATGAAAGCTAGCCTCCGGCCTCAGTTCTAGGCCGAGCCTTTGTTGCTCTTAGTCCCCGGCCGGTGGTCGGAGTCCCAGGCCTCCGGCCCCTGGGTCCAGTGCGCCCTGCCACCCCTCCCCCGGGCCTGCCCGGCTCTCAGGTGTCCTTCCAGACCCGGGGCTTGTGCTGGGAGCCCACTGCGCTACTCATTTCATCTCCCTGTGATCTCAGGAGGGACAGTGTTTCGAATTTTACAGATGAAGAGAGTGTAACTCAGAAGAACTCCAGGTTGCAGAGTCGGGGGCTGGGGCCGGCGGTTGAGTCCGTGTTCCTTCTGAGTGCCCGCGTGTGCAGAGCCCTTGGGCCGCCGTGGTTCACGTGCGGTCTGAAGCGCACTTGAACCTGGGGGCCTGGCGGCGGAATGTTTATCTAACCCAGCCAAGCTTTACCCCTGGCACGCCCCACGGTGTTAACTGTTTACCTTACAGCCCCGGGGAGGGGGGCGGGGCTCTGGCCCGAGTGCAGGCGCCTCTTGGGGAGCCCGCTGTGGACTTGCCTTCGGCCCGGGGGCTTGGCAGGACGGGGAGCAGCCGAACCCCGCTCTGATGAACTGCTCTGCAGGGTCCTTACAAGGGCCGCCCTCCTGGCTCCGTAGGTCGCTCTGGGCCTGTTCTCAACACTCTGTCCCTTTCTTTGGGCTCCCCCTCTGCCTACTGCTGTTCTGTTCCCTGCAGTCTAGAGAACGCTGTCTGAATCCCAGTGTGGTCAGGGGCGTGAGTGTTCCCAGGGGATGCTGGGAGCAGGCTGTGAGGACGAGTGGTTTGGGCCAGTTTCTGGCAGTGTCCCCGGCTCTTCTCTGGCTTATCCTCAGGAGCTTGGGAAGTACTCGGTGGTTCCTAAGAGGGCCGGCCTACGTTTGGGGTGGCCTGTGGGTAGCAAGTGAAGAACAAGGAGACTGAGCCCAGGGACAAGGAGGCTCCCCCAGAATCACCCAGAGAGGAAATGGCAGTTCAAGGGCAGGGACCCAAGCTTCCCAAAGACTTTCCACATGGTCTTCCTACCTCTCCTTAGTATTCCTAAAAGGTGAGAAACAGAATTTTCACTCCTCCGGGGGCAGTGGAAGAAGTGGAAACATTTTGAAGAGGCATAATTGTCAAATAGTATACAAGTTAAACCACTATTACAGAGAACCCAAAAATACAGTCGTTTAAATCAGATATCAGATAGTTTATGTGAAAAATAGGAGTTCAAGGCCATCCTGCATGAGCAGCTTTCATCTCTGAACCCAAGGTGGTTGCTCCAGCTCCTACCATCACATCTGCATTCCAGTCCTCAGGAAGGGAGAAAGGGACAAAGGGCTCATACACCTTTTCTTGTTCATTTCTGCTGTGAGAGAGGCTGGGAAATAAAGTCTTAAGCTGAGGGGCTGTGAGTCCAGCTAAAACTAGACAGTTCTGTTATTAAAGGAAGAATTCCAGTTATCAGTCTCTGCCACAGATAGCACAGTTCACCAAGGGGCCTTATTGGTTGGTGGGAAACAGTACAGAATAGAGTTGAGAACTAGAGTTTCTTTAGTCCAGCCACTTCATTTTAGAGAAGCCTTTGAGAACTAGAGAAGGGAAGTGGTTTGTGGGACTTCACAGGCCTGATGTAGAACAGGGGTCAGCAACCTTTCTGTAAGGGTCAGAGAGTTAATATTTTTGGCTTCACAGGCCTTGTGGCCTCTGTCGCAACAACTGAACTCTGCTGTCATGGAGAAACTCAGCCACAGACAGTGCAGACAAATATGGCCATGTTCCAATAAAACTTTATTTATGAAGACAGGTGGGGGCCAGATTTGGCCCCCGAGCTGCAGTTTGCCAGCCCCTGTTGTAGAGAAGAAACGAGATTCCTGCCAAATAGGGAGCCTGACACATGAGCACCGGACAGGTGGCAGCTGCAGGTGTGATGGTACTTACTATCCCTGCAGTCCAGGGCGCCCAGCTGGCAGCACCCGGGTCCCTGCTCTTCTCGCCACGCTGTGCTGAGCCATGCTGCTGGGGTCACCTCCTCACTTGCGCCGCTGTTGAGCCTGGACTTTGTGGCTTCCTTTGCATCATGTAGTTGTGAAGCGCCTCTTGCTGCCAGGTGCTACGTGGGTGAGGGTGCGACCACGGGGGCTACAGAAACGGGGACCTGACACCCCTGCCCTCTTCCCACAGGTTACGACTTCGCGGCCGTCCTGGAGTGGTTCGCCGAGCGCGTGGACCGCATCATCCTGCTCTTCGACGCCCACAAGCTGGACATCTCGGACGAGTTCTCGGAGGTCATCAAGGCCCTCAAGAACCACGAGGACAAGATCCGCGTGGTGCTGAACAAGGCCGACCAGATCGAGACGCAGCAGCTGATGCGCGTCTACGGGGCCCTCATGTGGTCCCTGGGCAAGATCATCAACACCCCCGAGGTGGTCCGGGTCTACATCGGCTCCTTCTGGTCCCACCCGCTCCTCATCCCCGACAACCGCAAGCTCTTCGAGGCCGAGGAGCAGGACCTCTTCAAAGACATCCAGTCTCTGCCCAGGAACGCTGCCCTCAGGAAGCTCAATGACCTGATCAAGCGGGCGCGGCTGGCTAAGGTAGACGCGGGTGCGGGCGCCGCCTGCCGCCCGTGAGGCCAAGGGGCCACCCGTCCTCTCTGCACCCCTGGGTGCAGCCTTTCTTAACTGAGATTCTTCTTAATGCGTATAAACGTCAGACAGGAGGGTGCCACTGCGCCAGGGGGCAGCCTGGGAAGAGGAGGGGGGCGGGGGTGCAGCTCGGGGCCTCATTGGCTTCCCCGCTCAGCCCTGCTGAGCACTGAAGTGCTGGGCACTGGGGACACAGTGGGGACTGGCAGGTCCCCACCCTTCTAGCACTCATCAGCCATACGGGGAATGCAGAACACGTAAAGAGAATAGAGCATGGTTTATTTGTGTTGTCATGGGTGCCACAGAAGCAGACGACTGGCGAGCTGTCCTGGGAGGGGTGGCTGGTGGCAGGCCGAGGAGGCCTCTGGTGGGAGCTGATGCATAAGCCAGGACAGGGGGAAGCTAGTGGAGGGACGGGGTGCGAGCCTGCGGGCCCAGAGAGAATGCCAGGTGGCTTCGGCCCCCAGAGGCCTCGTAAACCATCCCTACCCCTCCGTGGAAGTGCGGAGCTTGCTGGCATCTGCTGGCAGCATCTGAGTTGCTCCCGAGTTTGGAATCTCAGTGCCTGGTCAGGAACTTCAGTGAGACCCTGGGTGGCTGGGGCTGGGAAATGAAGGTTAAAGCCACCTTCAGACGTGGAGGAACAGAACGTGTCCTCCGAGGACATACGATTTTGCATAAGTCTTCAGTCCAGGGCAGGGTGCACATGAGGATCACAGACCCTCGAGGTGAGGGCTATCAGCCCAGGCCGGTCAGTGCTGGCGGCCAGGAGAGGCCCCTGGGCACCACCAATTCGCGGGCAAATTGGCCGCAGAGAGCAGGGGTGTTGACACCTGCCTTGTGGCTCAAGGAGGAGTGGGAGGGTGCTCTGTGGGTGTCAGGGGCTTGTGAAGGCCAGTGAAGCAGTCCCCTGGGCTCCAAAGTGTGGCAGGCCTGAGGATGGTTCGTCTTCGCCGGGTGGCGGGCCCTGCCTCGGGAGAGCCGAGCCCCATGGGAGCCTCCAGGGAACTGGCCGCCTGTGTGTAACGCAGAGGTTTTGAGACTCTGCCGGGGCCAAACATAGTGGCCTAGGGCAGCCCGTGCTGTCTTGAGGCCCGGAGTCGGGCAGCATTTATAATGAGAGCTGACCCTTCATCCTTTCCCACTGAGCTCCATCCCCACCCTGTTTACCCAAAGTGCTCGTGGACCAGCGGATCGGAGCTCCTAGAAGCTTGGATTCTCAGGCCCCACCCCGCCCTCTGAATCAGAGTCTGCATTTGAACACCATCCCTGGTGATCTGTGTGCACAGTAGAGTTGCAGGAGCCTGCTCTGGAGGACACGGGGCCGCAGGCTTTCCTAGATATGTCACTTCTGGAACCTTGCTGGTGGGTGGAGCTGGTTCTCAGGAACCCATGGGAAAACCCACGTAACTGGCTCTGGGTCTCAAAGGACAAGGGATGCCCCAAGCTGAGGTGGGGGAGAGGCCGTGAATGGAGAAGAGCCTGGCCTCCACTGTCAGCTGTGGCCCCGCTCAGGCCGCAGGGCAGGACAGTCTCCTCGCTCCTGGCAGGGCCGCCTGTGCACTCGCTCTGCCTCCTTCCAGGACAGATGAAGGGCAGACTTCGTCCCTGCCTGTTCATCCGCAGAGATGGTGTGTAATCGCCTGGCCCGCAGGCACGTTGAATCACCAGGCCTGGAAAACCCCGTGGTCTCCAATCCTGTCCCGCACCTGCTCTTGCCAGACTGTTTCCTTTTCCTGGAATGAGTAGCTCTCTCTCGCCGACTCGCACTGGCCTGTGGTGGGCAGAGGGTGACTGTGGCTCTGTGACAAGCCTGCTCCCTTCGGGCAGATGGAGTCAGGCCCGTGGCGGGATTTGATGGGGGGAGCGGGCAGTCTGGGAGAACAGGGGTGGGGGGCCCAGGCTGGCTGACTGCAGCCCTCTGCGCCTGGACGTTGCTTCGAGAGGCAGAGGGATTTGAGGGCTGGTGCCCTTGGAGAGTGGCCAGGGTTACCGGCCACTGAGGGGAAATGAAGGGTGTGCCTCCCTTAATTGGCAGATATCTGAGCAGCAAGATATTAAGCTTTGATAAAGCTGGAAACATCTGGGAAAAGCCTTGTCGGATTTTTCTGATCCTTAGTCATCCCTGAGGCTGTCATGATGATAAAGTGGAACGTAACTCTGGCCGTATTGTTCTGTGAACTTGACATCAGCATGCACATATGGATATTTGCATATATTTGCTGTGCAGGGTGGTGGGGCTCTGCCTGGCTTGGTAGGAACGGGGTCTGCGGCTCTGCTGCATAGAAGGGGCAGCTGGGGGAGAAGGGTGCCTGTTTAGAAACAGAAAGAACGTGGTTTTGCACTGCTCTTGGCAGTCCAGGGTCACAATCCCCGGTCTCTGGGGCAGCTGGAGCGCAGGCCTCGCTCCTGACAAGGTGTCCGGGAAGAACCTGACTTCCGCCCCCTCTCCGTCTTCGCAGGTCCACGCCTACATCATCAGCTCCCTCAAGAAGGAGATGCCCAATGTCTTCGGGAAAGAGAGCAAGAAGAAAGAGCTGGTGAACAACCTGGGGGAGATCTATCAGAAGATCGAGCGGGAGCACCAGATCTCGCCCGGCGACTTCCCAAGTCTCCGCAAGATGCAGGTACGGCTATCCCGCACCCTCAGCGGGCTGGTGGCCGTCAGGAAGTGAGGGAGGCCCAGGGCCCTGGGGCAGTGCTGGAGGGAACTCCGGCTCCATGGGGTGGGGCCTCCCCAGTGGAAGCAGCGGGGTTAATCACCGGCACCCAGAGAAGCTGACCCAGGCGGTGACACTGCAGAGGGGAATGTGGTGACTCACCCTGCACAGTGGGGGAGGGGGGCCGTGCCAGGCTTTCCAGCGTCATCCCGGTTAGTCCTCGCCGCAGCCCTGCAGGTACCTCCAGTTTGTAGATCGGGGAGCCAGGGCCCAGAGGGCTAACTAAGTCGCCTGAGCTGTTCAGTGGTTGGGGCCGGGACACGGAACCAGCTGTGTCTGCTTGGGCAGCCTGGCTTCGCCCACTCCAGGGGCCCCACCCAGCCCTTCTCTTACCTCCCCGCCCCCCAGGAACTCCTGCAGACCCAGGACTTCAGCAAGTTCCAGGCCTTGAAGCCCAAGCTCCTGGACACGGTGGACGACATGCTCGCCAACGACATTGCACGGCTGATGGTGATGGTGCGGCAGGAGGAGGCCCAGATGCCCTCGCAGGCCGTGAAGGGCGGCGCCTTCGACGGCACCATGAACGGGCCCTTCGGGCACGGCTACGGCGAGGGGGCTGGCGAGGGCATCGACGACGTCGAGTGGGTGGTGGGCAAGGACAAGCCCACCTACGACGAGATCTTCTACACGCTGTCGCCGGTCAACGGCAAGATCACGGGCGCCAACGCCAAGAAGGAGATGGTGAAGTCCAAGCTGCCCAACACGGTGCTGGGGAAGATCTGGAAGCTAGCCGACGTGGACAAGGACGGGCTGCTGGACGACGAGGAGTTCGCCCTGGCCAACCACCTAATCAAGGTCAAGCTGGAGGGCCACGAGCTGCCCGCCGACCTGCCCCCGCACCTGATCCCGCCCTCCAAGCGGAGGCACGAGTGACTGGCCCGCCCCGTGACAGACTCCCTCCATCTCAGCACCCAGCCAGGCAGAGAGTGGGGGAGGGCAAGGGTCACAGTTGTCAAGGTCCATAAAGACTGAGGGGGTGTTTCCTCAGCTCTTAAAAAGGAACCACCATCTTTCTTCCGAGGCTGTTCCGGGGCCCAGCGGGGGAGGCAGGGGTGACCCTCGTATGTGAATGATGGAATTTTGTGCGCAAGAACTATGGATATTTTTAATATATAACATTAGAGGCAGCCCTCTGTCTTGCCTCCTCCGTCTGCCAGCCCCATGCACGCACAGCCTCTGCCTCCCCGGCCTCTCCTCGCGCTCTGGCTGGACAGCACGTGCGGCCACTGTGACTGCGGGGGAAATGGCCTGCCGTGCCCACGCCCGGCTCGCCCCTCCTGGCAGCTAGAGGGGCCCTGGGACTGTACGGAGACAGGAACGCCCCGGATCCCCAGTTTGTTTCAAAGCTGAGGGTTGCTTCATGGGGCCAGTGGCTTCCTCCCCGCCCAGCTCTGCCTCCTCCCTGTGCTCCCGGATTAAGTTGGTTCTTGTGCCTTCCCCTTCCCGCGTCTCCTTGTGCACAGGCCGGCTCTTTGCTCTCATATCTCCCTGGCTGGGCACAGAAGTCAGGCCCAGCTACCTTTTTTTTAGAGTGGGGTACGGGGGATGGGTGGGTGTGAGGGAACAACTTCCAGAAAAATATATAAGCTAGTTTTTGTTGTGTAAAGTGACACCTTTCATACTTGATCAAATTTTCCAGTAACTTCCCAACCACTTGTTCAGAAGCTGTGATTTTTGTCTCCTTCCCCACACTCCAAACAGGACAGCTCTGCCCAGGAGCCATCAGATGTGGGGTGCGCGCAGGGCACACCCCACCAGGACCCCAGAGGCTGTGTTTCCTGTTTCACCCTCTCACTTTCCTGAAATGTTCTGGTACCCCTCCCTGCCCCACCTTTGGGTGGGTGGTGGGTTCTCATGACCCTAGTGTGGCTTGGTGCTCTGGCCTGGGCCTAGAGGCCAGACAGCGACACTAGGGACAGCCCAGCCCCTTCCCTCTTCCTCACTTTCATTTCCCACGGAAGCCCCCTCCTTCCTTCCTTCCTCCCGTTGAGCAAAGGAGGGCGTTGAGCAAAGGAGGGCGGCCAGTGGCTTGGATGCCCTCAGAACAAACCCACCCCCCCCAGCTGAGCAATGAGAAACCTGAGCCAGCTAGCAGCCGGTTCAGGCCGCCCCACTCTGCTTTGCCTCAGCTGGGCTGTCCCAGCACAGCCTCAGGGGGCCTAGATGTACTTGCTGGCCAGTGGTCGGCCGCCAGGGCCTGGAGCGGCCATCGCAGAGCCGCTGTGGCGGGGGGAGCGGGCTTCCCACCAGGCACTCCCACGGGGGTCTCAGGGACTCCTCCGCTCTGACCTCCTCGACCCCCGCTCTCCCTCCCATTGCTGCTCTCCAGGCCTCCGCTGGCCCACCATTCCATACGGTATTAGGGGAGGATGGAGGCCACAGCCGTGGCAGGAGTTCGCTGTTGAAGGTGCGGTGGTTTATCCACACTCGCCTGTGGGAAGAAAAAGAGCTGAAGACAAGACTTTATTTCTTGCATTAAAAAAGTTTAATCGTGCTGCAGCTGGCTTGTGGTGCTTAGTTGTCTCCTCCCAGGGCCTGCTCCCCACAGTGCCTGCTGGGCTCTGGCAGGGCATCTGGGGGGCCAGGATGCCAGCAGGGACAGACCGGCAAGCCTGCCAGGGTGAGGTGGCTGTCACTGCCCAGTCACCCAGCTCTGCTGCAGCGGCTGCCTCCTACTAAGAGTGAGGCCTGCAAACGGGGCTGCGACCCCCTTTCCTTGTGCTGGGTGGGAGCTCAGCAGTAGTTTATTTGGGGGGAGGATGGGGTGAAGAAGTTGGGAGAGGCTCTGATTACTGAGGACCAGGCTCCCCACCACCCACCATCCGGGGTTGGTAGAGAAGGTACCCGCCTCCTACAATCTTTGCAGCATCTCCTCCAACCTGGGCCCGCCCTGGCCGTGGACAGACAGCTGGGCGCCCACAGGGCTCTTGGCACTGGGAGGGGTCAAGTAGACAGGTTTACTGGGCTCCATGCGAGCCCCAGAGTGCTTTAGAGACGGTGAGGCTGGTACTCTGAAGACAACAATACAATTACAAAGGGCGGGGCCCCCTGATGTGGCAGATAGGGGACTGTTTGTACCAGCAGAGGAAGGGTGACAAATGGGAAGCCCAGGCGCCATGGAAGGTGCAGACTGGAGGCGCAGTCGGGCTGGAGGGTGCTCCGGGCACCCTGGCAGAGGTGGGATGTGAACAGTGCCGTGGGCTTGGGGGCCAGGCTGGGCTCCCACCGGTGTGGCAGCCACGTGGTCTGATGGCCGGTGTCTGAGGGAGCAGGGGGCCAGCCCTCCGCACCCTGCAGAGGGTTTACCTTGTGCCCGGTTGACCTTCATGACCTGGAAGGTCCGTGTTCTCCCCACGCACAGCCAAGAACTTGAGACTGAGGAGGGCCTGAAGGGCAAGTGTGGTGGGATGAGCCTCAAACCCGGTCCGTCTGACCCCAGGCACGAGCTCCACCGAGCTTCTAATGGAAAGGACCCTTTAAAAGGAAAAACCGAGCTTACAGCTCGCCGTGCCCCCCAAGTCTGCAGCTCGAGACTCAGGTCTGAGAAACCACACTGAAGATTAAATGCTGTCACCTCAGCCCAGGGCCCTGAAGGCTTGGCCCAGCCCCTCAATTTCCAGGGGTCCCCCAAGAGGTGAGGCTCATTCCAGCTGTTCAAAGAAAACAGAACCTCCGAGATCTCGTGGAATGTGAGCGAGAAGGGCCACCTGTCCCACTCTGTCCCCTCCACTGAGCCCGCCACCTGGGGCTCTCCGGCACATCCTGTACTCTCAGCTCCCCCAGCATCGGGGTAGGGCGGACCCCCTAAGGCTGCCCCAGGAAGTGACTGCTGAGCTGAGGCTTGAAGGAGGGGCCGAGAGCAGGCGTCTGCGCCCCCGCTGCCCCAGAGCTCATGCCCCTGGTTTGGGTTTTACAGGTTGGGGGTCTTCTCTGGGCCGTGATGGGGGTTCAGGAAGGCCAATGGGTGTGGACAAAGATGTGGCCACCCTCTTAGGGAGCCAGCACCTGCCCCTCGCCTCCTCCCCAGCTGCTAGCTGGCCAGGATCCTGGGGGAAAGGCCCCCTCTTCAGAGGCTGGTCTGGGGCACAGGAGGGTTGTTTCCACCCAGCTCCCAGAGCTCCTAGAGTAAGAGGCCTGTGGGGCCATCTGCCCACGTGGCACCTCAGAGCCCAGGACAGGAGGCACGGGGCCCACCCACCGTCCCTGGGCCCCACACAGCAGCTCCGTTTTATACACTGAGGTTCCATGGAGATCTCATCAGAATAAACATTTCTTCCGCTCCTCAGTACACAAAAAGTTAACCAGGAATTCAACCCAGTGCCCTGTTCTTGTCTCCAGTGGGCTGGTCATAGGACTTGCCCAAGGCCACCAGGCTGTGACAGGGTTCGGACACCAGCACCAGGCCTGCCCTCAGTATTCAGAGCAGGCCAGCTCAGGAAGCACACGGAGGGTAGACCTCGGGGCACACAGGAATTTCATTCCAGCTCTGCCTCTTGCTCAGCCGTCCTCCCTTCCCGAGTCTGTTTCCTCAGGCACCAAAGGCAGGCAGCGACCCTGCTTCACGGAGACAGCCCCCTAGGGTGCCCAACTCCAGTGGCTGCCCTTGCTGAGCACCCGAGGGTGGGGGTGAGGGTCGGTCCAGGGAGCCCAGCCCTCCACCCAACCCCAGAGCAAAGCAGGCGGGACCCACCCTTCCCTGAGGCAGCCCGCAGACTCAGTGGCGCCCACGGGCCAGCGGGGTGGTGGCCGAGGGGGCTCGGGGCCGGCTTCCTGTGCGCCCAGGGGGTTTGATAATTATAAAACCACATGGCCTGCTGCTGCTGTGGAGCATGGGAGCCCCCGTGCTGTGTTGCAGCAGCCCAGAGAAGGTTTTGGAAGAAAAGTCAGGATGATGAAATCACCATATGTCCACCCATTTGCAGCTTTGGACTTTTCAAAGGACAGCCCTGGTGTGCTGAAGTGGGCGGGGGGACGTGCGGGGCTGCCAGGGGCTAGCTTGGGGAGCGGGGACCCTCACCCCACCGTCTCCATCAGCCCCTCCCCCAAAGCCACCCCAATAGACACACATTTAAACAAAACTCCGGAGCCTGAGCAGCAATGCTTCCCTACCCCCCCAACCACACGCTCTCCCTGGAGAGACACACTCCAGCGACCACTGGTGGCCATGCCGTGTACCATTTGCCCCGCACACCTGAGCCGGGGCAGTTCTCCATCGGGCACAAAGTCAGCAGCCCAGAAAGAGAGGAAGTGACTTGCCCAAGGCCACATGCCTGGTCAACAGTGGGCAGGGCTGTAGGACCCCACAGCCAGCCTCCCCTTGTCCCCCGACTCCCTGAGGTAGGAGTGGGGCGCTGTGCTTCCGGTGTGGCCCAGGACAGGGGCGGCCTGCCCTTCCAGTTAGCCCTGCAGGACCATCTGCTGGGAGCAGCTTCCTGAGGCTGGGCTGGGAGAGGCTCCTCCCACCGTGGGGAAGGGGAGGCACAGACCAGGCTTGGAGGCTATGGATGTGTCAGACCTCGGAGCCTGCTTTGTGTCTGGGCCCCTCCTGAGCCCAGGCGGCTACGCTCTGGGGGCCAGGAAACCTGGGTTCCCTGCCACTCACTTGCACTGGTCCCTCACCTCCCCCCTCTCTTTGGAGTCCTCTCTTATCCAAACCATCCTCTTTTCACTAGGCTTGGGTCTTTGAGCTGACGGTTTCCTTTTCTTACCATACAAGGCCCTTCGCAGAAGCCTACCTCCAGTCCACTGCAGGCTGGCTTTTCCCTGTGTCCTGTCCCCAGCAGCTGGGTGCCACACGCTGACCTTCTGCTGCCGGGCACTGGCCTAGGCCTAGAGCCTGGGTAAGAAGCTGGAGGCTGGCACCACCCACCTCCCACCTTCCCAACCTCAAGGTATTAATCTGCTACGGGAGGGTAATAACGCCCTCATTCTGGCAAGGCCTTGTGAAGATAACGGATCTGCAGTCACTTTGAAATGCTAAGAAGCACCATAGGAATTCGAGGTGTTATCACCAAGATCTGCTCCCCCCCGGGGCTGGGTGAGAGCTAGCCAGCACCTGGATACCAGGGACCAGGGCTCGGAGGGGAGAGAGGTTATGGGGGAGCAGGTGCTCCTGCACCTGGGTAGGCC